CAAAAAATCGAAAATGAATTTAAATGTGGTTATGCAATAAACGAGTTGCGTTTATCTCGTATCAAGGAAGGCAGCAACTACATAGAGCCACTCCCTGTGTCTATGTGTGTGGGAGTGAATGAATTATGCAACTGAAATTCAATTTCGACAGCCGCAAAGTATGCAATAAAAAGCGGACTCAAGAGTCCACACTGATTGTCACTTAATTGTGCGCCATCAAGGGTGCTGGCAGAGTGCAGGGTATTCGCATCAGATAGGGTAAGTGGGGCTTCAATATGTCACTTGCAATTGCTGCAGCAGCAGCAACAACAACAACAGACACTGTTTACAATAAAAAAAAAGACAAACCTGACAAACAAATGCGACGACAACAACAGCAACAACAACAAATCGTGGCCAACAAGTCTCCTGTGGGGCTGATTTTTAGTAAGCCAGCCAACAGGCCAACAGGCTGACCATGATGAAGAGCCTGTGAAAGGCAGTCGATGGGAAGATGGGCAGATGGGCAGATGGGCGGATGGGGCGTGGTTGAACAGATAGTGGGCCACAGGCGACAGTTTGAGTAATTATAGAGACTGCAATTTCGGAATGGTGTGCAGTTCGCATTCAATCTTTTTTCTCTTTTCTTTTTTTTGGCAGCCTTCACGTAATTGAAAATTAAATTGCTGCTCGATGACAGCTATAGACGGCAGAGGGAGGGAGCATATAGGGAAGCCCTAAAAATAGCGGAAGCAAGAGGAAGCCGGCGTTTGACAAATGTACAAAACGAGGGCTGTGCAGTTGAGCGTTAACGATTTGACTCAACCGAAATGCCACAGAATCTTGTTGATTGGTCAGAGTTACATTTAGACTCGGCAAATTGCTTTGGACAGCAATGCAATTGAACTTATCGATCTGCTTGTACAATCGATAGGCAGAGAAGAATTGCTCAATGTTTGACTTGATTCGCTCAAGACGTGAACTAACTCGCTCATCTCATTAACTAGTTCTGCTCATTAGCAGATTTGTACTTCAATTGGAACCCAGTACTTCAAGGAAGGCGTTGATAAATGGAGCAGAGAGTCTCTTTTGTGATTGCTCGATCTATTGATATATGCATTAGCACATCAACGAAATTTAGACTATTAAATGATATGGAATGCATTCACCATTATCTTTCTTGACAGTCCTGCGACATTCTGAGCAATATTATTCAAGATTGCTCATTAGGAAGTCTAGGGAAACCATTAGCATTAACTTAATTAGAGCAAAGTCTCTAAATTCCTTAATTTTATGTGTCACATATTGTGAGATCAGTCACCCTGCACGGGCTCGTAATTAAGCCTAATGCAGTTGCTTATCTTAATGCTGTCATCTCGTTTTAGCAGCTAATTCATGCTAGAGAACTAGAGAGCTGTAGAGCTCTACATACTTTTACACCTTTCGTTGAGCTTTTTACTTCCATAACACGTTATTTGCCATTTTCATTATACCCTGAACCCATTGAAAATGGGAAAACAGGGTATAATGGTTTTGTTAAAAGTATGTAACAGGCAGAAGGAGGCGTGGCAGACAAGCTGAGTCAATTTGGCCCTGTCCGTCTGTCTGTCCGTCCGTTCGTCCGTCCGTCCGTATGTATGAACGCGTCGATCTCAGAAGATATAAGAGCTAGAG